TTGAGAATACACCCCCCTCTGAGCTGGTCTAAGGTGTCGTCTATTTTGGGGAGTAGGTAACGGTTCTTAATGGTCAACATATTTAACTGTCTGTAGTCGATGCACAACCTCATCAACCCATCTTTCTTCTTAACAAAAAAGACAAGCGCTCCTCAATGAGAGATGCTCGATCGAATAAAACTCTTCTCTAGTAACTCCTGAATCTGAGTCTTTAACTCCTTTATTTTAGTTGGTGCCATGCGATAGGGAGTAATGAACACTAGGGCTGAACATGACATTACTTCAATGTCGAACTCCAATTTACGCTCAAGTGGCAAACCCGATAACTCTTCTAGAAACACATCAAGGAAATCTTGCACCGTTCAGATATCCTTGAGTATGAGTACCGAGATTTGGGTGTCAACTATATGAGCCAAGAAGGCCTCAAATACAAGATCGATCATCCTTTGGGTTGTCAAAACTGATATTATCCTCATCTGGCAAGATCTCTCAGTAGTCATCATCAACTTAGTTCTATCGACTATTCTAAGCTTAAGTCGTCTAGCTTTGCACCTCAAACTGACATCATACTCGGTCAACCAATCCATCCCTAAGATCATGTCAAACTCCTTGAAGGGTAACTCCATAAAGTCTGCTGGAAAAGTTTGATCCTGAATCCTCACTGTGCAACGTCTAAAATCTTTATCCACTAGGACGTCTAAACATAGAGGGCTTAAGACTCACACTCCTACCTTTAGGTTCTCTGCTAGGATTTCTATTTCTTATACTAGGTCGGAACAGATGTAAAAGTGGGTGGATTTGGGATCTATCAATGCGGTAACTCGTAAGGAAAAGACCATAAAGGTACTATATATAACATCTGTCGCATCGTACTCCTCCCTGGTTCACATTGTGTACACTCAGGAGGCCACTCTATGTTGTACATCGGCCACTGATCTAGTTGTCCCTCATCTCTACTTTCCTAACATAAAACTACCACCTCTAGTTAGCCTTCGACCTCTCTACACAGATGGCATCGATTGCTAAGTCGTTACTGGTGCTGCACCCTGAACTCTTGGGCAGTCTTTGCAAAATAACCCATGGAGCCACAACTGTAACAACCTCTAAAACCTAGTTAGAATGACCCTGGGTTCCTTTTTTCCACACGTAGAACATAGGGAAAATGTGAACCTTGCTCACTCGTAATACTCTCAGAAGTTAAGTTCAACGGTCTCCTCCTCGATTCAGATCTGCCTCCATAACCCGAACTCTACTCGGTCTTCCGGGACTGTGTTGTTGGGGGACTCGAGGAACCCTGACTATCCCTAACCCTCTTGGTCAGAGTTTGCAAAGGCCTCATTGGCTCTATTGATCTTCCCTACTATCTCATTGGTCTGCCTAGCATGTCTTTCCAAAGCTCTCACCTACTTTTGCCTGATGTATCAGCTAAGCAAAGACTCTGGAGGATCAGTCGCAAGGTGGGTCAAAATGTCACCACAAAGACCCTCTCTGAAAAGGTAGTAGCGATGGTCCTCGATCAGGATCACCTCTTCATCACAATTACTAAACTAAAGAAACTCTCACTCGTACTCCGCCACTAAGAGATCGCCCTAAGTCAGGTGTAGAAACTGCTCCATCAAATCATCGGTGTAGATCTGCCTGATGTACTTCTCTCTGAACTGAGTGAGAAACTACTCCTAATTAGGCCTCTATAGCTCCATCGCCATCTTTATAGTCTTTCACTACTCTATCGCGTCACCCTAAAGCATTGAGGTGATGCACTCCATATTTCCCGCTGGGGTGAGATGCAACTGTCGGAGGGTGTGGAGCGTCTCTCTAGGCCACTGGTCCGCTGCGATAGGATCATAATCCTCCGAAACTAAAAACTCAATGGTCTTATATGTATGGAGTCACTCTACTGGGGACTTCTAGGAAAGGCTATTGGCTGAGCTGGGGGTACCAGTGAGGGAGGTAATGTAGCTAAAGAACTAGGAAGGGACCTAGCGATCTGCCTAAGTATGGATGTGAGGCCCCTGAAAAAGGTCGCATCCTCTACCCCCGTATCTATCGGAGCTTCCTACTGTGAGGTGTCCAGAATTGAACTCATCTCATGTATCTGAGGCTAGTGAGGCATAACTCTCATCTCTACCATCCGGACTGTGAGCTGGATCGTCTGTCATAGGGTCTATTTATGAAATTGGAAAGAAAATGGGTCATTATAGTTATTCCATTTATTTAAGTAATCTGGACTCTCTAGAGGCATGTACATGTCTAGACACTGGCTGAATCTAACCCGCGGGTCCTATAACGGATTAAACATGGATGCTCTTATACCACTAAATGTAACAGTTTAATCTATTTTAACTCGAAGATCCACAGATTTCAATATTACATGGGACTACCGAAATAATAACCCAAAATTTTTTCTTTTAAAACTACTTGTGAATTTATGAAAGTTGATCATCCACGATATAATATAAAAACATAATAAAATATGGTTTTACAATTTATGGGGAGCTCTCAATATGTATCCGTAAAATAATACAAATATTGAGTTTCAAAAAGAGTTACGACTGAATACATAACAAGGTCCATAACAGTACTTGCCCTCTAAAGATGACTCAAGACACACTCTGAAAGGTCTCTGAGAATTTGATCTGTTGCATTGGAATATCTGATGACGATAGCTCCTCACAATCTGTCCCTAAGAACCTGCGTACGGAAACATATTCTAAACGCTGAGCTTACGAGCTCAGTGCCTCACTGGAAACTGTACTATACTATATGCATTCACTAGTTGAAATGGCAAGTGGCACAGGTCTGAACATGCTAAATGTTGTACTACTAATATGTGGTTGGCATCATAATATGGTTGAGGGATTATGTATATCGGAGCTCACACACCCTTCTAGTACTGCCGAAGCACCATTAGGTACTCCTGGGTGAGATATGGAATTCTGCATAAAAAACGTACACCCACTCACTTACTTCGTCAAGTCTTGAGGCATCTGTGCCCAGTCGGCTGCTGAAGTGCCGTGGTACTGATTTGAATCCACTGACTATCGTATTTATGCTAAAAGGAACTTGTGTGTCATTATTTCCCGATCATCAAACAAGGCTAGTTTTATGTAAACCTAGTTATATTCTATCTCTACTATTATGATATTAATTATTGTTCTCGCTTGATGTCTTATTTGAGGATATACTAAGTGTTGGGGTACCTTAAGTCTAATTCCCTTAAAAACTGACATTTTTGTCCAAAACAGACTGAAAGTATCGATACTAGCCCAAGAATATCGATACTCCTACAAAAGTTTCGATACTTTTAAACATTTTTGTATTGCCTAGTTTCGATACTTTCTGGGAGTTTCAAAACTATAACCCAAAGTATCGATACTTTTGAAAGAGTATCGATACTCTTACCCAAAAACTCGCGAGTTTGCCTAAGAAAAAGAACAAGTTTCGATACTATCCCCTAGTATCGAAACTCAACCTGCAAAGAGCATAAAATAGGTGCAAAAATTCATATTCTTCTATCCCAAAGACCTTAGTGAGGTCCCTAAACATTATTAATGTTTTATGTAGATACTTATTGTTATGTGATAGTCAGGTATTATTAGTGTGTTTTGTATGATGATGCATTGTAGTATGATACTGAGATTAGAGACCTAGTATACGTTACTCGTGGCAAGACCCTTAGTAGAGACTAAGGGAAACATGAGACTTGCACTAAAAGGTAGAACTGTTAAACCTTAAGTAGGTAGAACTTGATTATGATCATGCATGTACCTACTGCATAGTATCATATCTTTAGCATGCTTATATTTATGAGATTTATATGCTGCTCTAGATTAGTGATTATACTGATGGGCTTTGTAAGCTCATCGTAAGGATGTTTTCATTTGTAGGTTACTATATTGAGTTGTTCGAGGAGCACCGTCGCATCAGGATTTCCAGCGTTTCCTCACAGAGTATTGGTTGTTACTTGTAGTGGGCATGTGTATTCATAGGTCCCTTTCTTATGTATTATAATTTGTAAACTTTGAGTTGTATTAAATGATTTAAACTATGTCATGGAGCTCCGATTTGTAAAAATGATTTTATTACTATTTTTGATGTGTTTTCACAAATATTTTGGTTTTAAATGAAAAAAATGGTTAGCCATTTCAATGGATTCGTGTAATATTCTAATCCTCCAAATTTCGAGTTGGATCAGATTAGGGTGTTACAGTAGGTGCTAGAATTTATAATTATTATTTTGAAATTATAGATATTTAGTAATTTCAATGACTATATTAAATATATGTATATAAATTAAATTAAACTAAATTAGCCATAATTTATATAAATGATAGAAATATTTTGAAAAACGTATTTAAATGATATTAGTTTTAGGGTAAATTAAGCGCTTAGTACCTAAACTATCAATTTTGGTCCGTTTTAGTACCTAAACTTTCAATTTTTTCAAAATCATACTTAAATTTTAGTTTTTGTTTCTTTTTGGAACCCTTCAAAAATTAACATTATGTTTTGAAAAAATTGAAAGTTTAGGTATTAAAAAGGACCAAAACTGAGAGTTTAGGTACTAAACGCGTTAAGTTTTTAATGGCGGGGGGTGCTAAAATGAAACAAAAACTAAACATTGGGAATGTTAAATTATCAATACCTAATTAATTTGTAACTCAAATAAAAAAATATTCACATATTATATTTAAACTAATCTAATTATAAAAAATATTTAATTTTTTTGATTAATTCGGTTAACCGACCGAAATAACCAAACTTTGTTCGGTTCGGTTAATATTTTCAAAGAAAAGTTTGATTCGGTTAACGGTTAAAGAAAAAATTTTCGATTAATTCGGTTAATGGTAATTCTGTTCGGTCGGTGACCGAATTAATCGTTTGAACACCCCTAAATTACTTAGTTTACCCTTAATTTTATAATCCTTCTTTGCATATATATGTAAACATATATTAGTCTCTTAGGTGTGATTGAAGAATAAGATATGCGAGGGGTGAAAACAGAAGGAAGTTGGCTGGTTTTGTGAGAAAATATGGGGAAAGGAAGAGCTCCATGTTGTGATAAAGACAAAGTGAAGAGAGGTCCATGGAGTGCCCAAGAGGATTTGAGGCTTATCACTTTTATTCAGAAACATGGCCATCAAAACTGGAGATCTCTACCTAAGCAAGCTGGTCACTCTCTTTTCTCTTCTTCTTCTTCTCTTTCATGACTTCATGCATAATCAAACAACGTTTCTTCTGATCATCTTCTTCTCATTGAATTAATCAATGGAATTCATATTCGTTTCAATGGTCATATCACCTATTGTTCTGTTCTGTTCTGTTTTCTCATCATTAATCCTGTTTTCATTTTTGCTGGTTTTTCCAATCAAGTTTATAAACCACTCTGTTCAATTCTCTCAATTTGCATGTTACTGTTTCATTTTTTATTATATGAAACAATGAATATTTAGCAGGCAAATTTGAAGCTTTTTCTGCAATGAAGTACTTATTCAAATCTGCAGATACTGCCAATTCTTTATATTACTCTAATAAATTAAAAAATAATAGTTGAACGAAATGTTTGAAATATTGAACTCTTCCTTCTTGTTTGTTTTGGTAATTAAGAACTACGAAGTTCGGTTTATTGTTGGTGTTTGGCCAGTTGTGTTGAAATGACAAGGTCAATGCAAGAATCTACCCCTTTGCCTTTGTTTTGTAATGTTTCTACCTAAAATATTCTCTTTTTTTTTTTGAAACTTTCTACCTAAAATATTCAAAGTTGAAGAATTGTTTCCTTTCTTGTTTTGATTTCCCTTTCTGATATAAGCATCCCAACATGCAGAAAGTTATGTGTCTTGTTTTTGATGTCTTGTTAGTTGAAACCTGAAGGCAAAAACATTGATTTGTTATAATTGTTTCCGTCACTCTCTCAACAGATAAAAAAGACAACTTGAACAAGTTTCACATTTAAGTTTTGGATTATGCTGTAGGGCTGCTGAGATGTGGAAAGAGCTGCCGTTTAAGATGGATTAATTACCTGAGGCCAAATGTCAAAAGAGGGAACTTCAGCAAAGAGGAAGAAGAAACTATAATAAGGTTACACGACAGTTTGGGGAACAAGTGAGTTTCAAATCACAAGACAGGCTTCAATCTTACTTATGTTAGTTGCTTATGTTAGAATTATGTTAATTTCACAGGTGGTCCAAAATTGCATCACATTTAGCAGGAAGAACAGACAATGAGATAAAGAATGTGTGGAACACTCATTTGAAAAAGAGATTGGCTCCGAAGAACGGAAAAACTCCTCAAAATGACGAATCCAAAGAATCATCATCATCATGCTCTTGTGTTACATCAGAGGAGGTGAACAAGGCAGAGATCTCGGATACCGTGTTCGATATCCCGTTGGAGTCCGATTCGGACTTTTGGGACATGTTGGATAGCTTGGGATCATTCAAGCCTGATGAGATTCAATCAAATGGAGTTGAAGAATATAGCAAAGAAACTGAAAATAACAAGTGGTTGCGGTACTTGGAAATCGAACTGGGCCTGGAAGTAACCAGAAATGAAGACCAGCACAATTTGTGAAACAGTGCTGATGAGCCACTGGTGCTACTGAAGCCATAACCTGATATGGGGCATATGTAATATTTTTTACTATACTTAAGTTATAAATTTAGTAGGTTTTCCTAACTTGCGGTTGGTTAAACTAGATGTATGGTTGATAAAATAAAATATGCATATGATCTTTTTCTCTTTTAATCATTTTCATTATTGATTAAATCACACCCTATCAAATTCCAAGCAAATGAGCGCTAATGGGGAGGTGATTGTATCAAATTCCACTCACGTCTCTAAAATTTTTCAAATTCTCATATATTTAGATTTTTCATTGATAATTTATTTTTACTCTAGAATTTTATTAGTTCACGCCTTAACATAAAATTATGTATTTGTCCCTGAATAACAAGTTATGACATGTCATGAATCAACTTCAATGATTAAAAGAATTGTTATTATTTTTAAAGGTCATGAGTTCGAGCATCAGCGACTGTATCAGGTGACTGAGCGACATTGTCAAATGATTGAAAGTACTTAAAATAAATACTACTTTGTATCACCTTATCTGTATTAAAAAAAAGTGTGCTCACATGGTACAATGATCGATGTGGCAAGTATATATGATGTTGAACCTCCAAATGATCTTATGGTAAAATTAGGAATATTTTGGTGTGACCTCGTGTTAGAAACAACTTTTGAGTTCTAAAATAACTGTTCAAAAGTGACTCGGTTCCAGACTCCGAGAATAAAAGGACGGATCTCTTTTAAGTAGCAGGGTCTTAATTTTTTTTTCAACCATGTAGTTAAAAAAATGATTCGACGTGAAAAAGAAAAATCATTCTTTTTGCCAATAAATCAATCCAATGGACAAAAAATTTAATCCAGTAGGCCAGTAATGCTTAAATACTTTGAAAATATTATAATGGATTGACGCCTTTCACTCTTTAAGTCCTCATACCTTCACAATAGAATAAATAAACCAAATTGGTAATAGTAAAAGGCTATTGTTGAATGCTTCCAATAAAATTCGAAAATGTTAAGGTTACGCTGAAATTTACACACACAAATATTGTTTTTTTTAGGTATTTGTTTCTGCAATTATGTGTGGTATCATATGCTTCGTTGATGAGATTACATTGAGTTGGAGTTTAATTTGTGTTTGTGATATGAAATTGTGGTTGTGGGATTTTGGCCCTTTTTTTTAGAGTTTCTTCATGTGAGCCCTCTGTGAGGACCAAAATGCGCAATTATATCACTGGCAACACCATGGAGAAGAAGTTTCGAGCCGGGAGTACGATAATCTCCTATATTTAATTCTAGGGTAAACTTCAAGTTTAATATCTCAACTATCACTTTTGTTATGTTTAGGTTACTTAAACATTATTTTAAAAAAAAATCATAAATAGCGTTACGTTTTGATCACCCACTATTAAAAAATTAAGAGAACTGATGATGTGATTTTTTTAAAAAAAGTTCAAAGATGAAGTGACATTATCTCATAGTGACACGCGAACATCATCATTAATTTTTTTTAATGGTTGATGAACAAAATTAAACCAAAATGATAGTTAAGTATGATTTTGAAATAAAAAAGTAGTTTAATGACCAAAATGAAATAAAACTTGTAATTGTCGAAACCATTTTTCGTTTGGATGGGTAAAAATAGTACGACTTAGGGTTTTTCTTTTGAAAATGTTTTATGAAATGTTGGAAGTCATCGCCAATCATTTTTAAGGTGTGATTGAGACACCTAAAATCAGGTAATTTTAATAAAATATTTTATTTTATCAAAAATACCCAGTTTTGGTCTGCGAAGAAATCATGTTCGAGAGTCGATTATGCTTGGGGAATGATTAACACCCCTACAACGCCCAAAATTAGTACATAGTCGATTACCCTATATTTAAAATTAGAAATTTTAATTTCGAAGTTTTATTTAATTTAAAATTTATTATGTATGCAAATTTCAGAAAATGATGTTGGTTTACCAAGATCAATAACGACCACCCTCGGGCATCTATGTGAAAGCTTCATTATTGATCTTAATAGACCAACATTGCCTTGAAGATTAAAAAATCATGATGCAGGCAGGGGCAAAACTCCCTTAGGGCCCAAAAGGCCCCCTGCCCCTGTAAAATTATTTTATGTTCGATAGATTTTGATCTAATAGTATTTTGGTTAATGTAAAACTAATTATTTAAATTAAGAAATATAAGAATTTATTAGATATTTAATCAAGTAGGGGAAAACTAAAGAATGATAATCCAATACCAACAACCGGTTGGTGTAGTGGGATGAGACACTAGATCCCTTAAGCAATATCAAAGGTTCGAATCTTGGCAATTGCAAATGGAGCAAACATGGTTGGGAGGGTCGCCCTCGCCTTTGCAATACCTTATCCGAATTAGTCGACCAAAAGATTGAAAATTAGAGGTTATATAAAAAATGGAATTATAATTCAATGTTCTCAATATTTTGGTCTAATAACAATTTATGTCATTATAAATTTAATTATTAGACAAATTAGACATTGTTTTCTAAATTTTAATATAGCTTATGAAGGAAATCAACAAACTTTTTGATATGGATCTCATCGTTATGCTTCTTCAATCTTTGAGGGATGGGCGGTGGGGGTTTGACTTCATCTGCTACAAGTGGAGGTGAAACTTTTTTCGTTGCATTAGAATTTCCTCCTTCAGCGGGATGACTGGTTTAACCCTAGTCATTTTACTTTTCCATAGGAAATTCTTCTTTTTCAACAAGTTCAGCTTGACCATCAAATTTTTCTAGTATAATTTCGTGGCGAGAAATTTCTTGCTTCTTCCCCCCAAACTTGTCTTCTTGATTAATTTGGGTATCACTCCTCAATGTAAGCGCACTGCATTGCTCCTTTCCAAGAGGCTTAGTGACCACAATATCACTAGAGAGGCTTCCTTGTGGGAGAGTATGTAATGTTGTTAAAAATTATCCCCAAAGATAAGCTATGACTTTGCAATAAAGTTACTTGACTTTACAAAAGTGTGCCTTGACTTTTAATTGTTGATGAATGTTCATGCAGCAAGGCCTTAGTTGACACCATGAAATCTTTTGTCGAAGCTATAAATTCTTGCAGAGAAGCTTCAAGGGAGTTGGCATTTGAAGAAGATGTTGAACCTTTGTTAATATTTTTTCATGACATCTATTGATGCTGAAAATTTGAAGGTTCGAAAATATTTTCCTGTGGAATATTTAAGTTGCTTGCATGGTTGTTGTGAACCACTTGATTACTCCAAGGAAATATAGGATGCTGACACGATCCTGGTTCGTAGGTGTTAGAATAGGGGTTATTGTTGCTTCTATTAAAATTGCCCACGAAATTGATAGACTCCTGATTATCAGGGCATTCACTCTCATAGTGATTATCGCGACAAAAAATACACGACGAGATGGTTGCTTTGACTTCCTTTACCTCGCTGGAACGTTGCATATTTTTCAACATATTTGTTATGGCGGAAAGTTGGGCGAACACCAATCCTTGACGTCTAGTTCAAATGCCCCCATGTGTCTTCCTTCAAATTCCAAGCCTTGTAGAGGGGAATTGATAATCATTGTTGGATATCCTATAAAGTACATAAAAAGCTTCATTGGGTGATTTTTTTAGGCAAAGTACCATTTGTCGAGGCATCCAACATCATGCGAGTGGGTACGTTGACTCCATTATAAAACATCACAACTTGAGTCCAATCGTGGAATCCGTGGTTAGTGCATTTGCGAAGAAAACTCTTATATCGATCCTAACACTTATACATTGACTCATCATCAGCTTGTCGAAAACTTGCTATATCATTTCAAAGTTGAGAGTTCATGTTGGGCGGATTATACCGTAGTAAAAAGATTTTGCACTGCCTAATACTCCATCAAGTCGAATTAGATTCCACTAAGACAAGCTCTAGCTCGGTTACGCAAAGAGTAAGGGAATAACTTTAGCTTCAGCACATCTTCGTGCACTCCTTGTTGCTTAAATGAGACGTACACTTCAAGGAAAGCATGTATGTGTTGCCTAGCATCTTCATTAGGTATGCCTCGAAATTGGCCGATCTAGTTCAACATGTTGAACATCATCGATTTGAGCTCAAAGTGGGTTGCCTAAATTTTTGGTGCCATGATTACAGGATTGAATTCATCAAGAATAGGACTTAAGTGATCTCGTATAGCACGTGATCTTGCAGTATTTATGTGAATATTTGATAACTCCGTAAAAAGACTTAAATTCTATTGCTCGTCTAAACAAAATATGCACTGCATTTTTAGTTGCATTTAGTTACATATAGGTTGTGGTGGATAAGTTTTGCCTAGGCAAGATTTATTTGGCTTAACTAATGCTGCTGAGGAGAAGGGATTGTTTGAGTTGTGTTTGTGCAGGAATTCTACAGAGGAAGAACATTTCAGTCGTGACAATGAAAAGTTGCAAAAGCCAATGGAGCAGATGAGAACGTAAGGAGCAGATTTATCTCGCCGAGCAAGATTTATCTAAAGAAGTCTGAAGCAAATGTGGAGAAACCACCTATGTCATATGCCAGCTGGATGGCCTGCTTCACGTGCAAGCAAGCCTTGAATATCCTGACAACCGCCCGCCGCCTTTCCTTTTTAAGTTTGGGAAATCAATAACGACTAATTAAGGAAACTCCAAAAGCATGCAAAGCCCTAGGAGATTCTTCTTATAATTACCAGCCATAGCCACAAAAAGAAAAGGGCAAGGAAGAAGAAAGAAGAGCTTTACCTTAGGCGTGAGCAAGCAACTGCAGTGCTTTCCCTCCGTCAACCCCCCAATCTTCCTTGGTGTCCTCCATAGCCATACGATAGCAAAGCTGTGATCAGGCCTCGAGAGAGGGTGATCACCAAGGCAGGCGTGGTGCTGATCAGGATTGTCGCGACAGAGCCCTCGGTTTTGGGAGTCGTTCTTCCTTTGTTCTTAAACTCTTATTTTATTTGGGGTTGTATTAAACGGTTTAATCTTGGATGATCTTTGATAACACCATGAATATTTTACTTGGTGTTAAACTTTGTTTTTCCTGAACAATATTTTA